GTGAGAAGTCAGTGCTTCTATAACCATGAAGTCCAAAGTGGGGTGCAGTTACCTCCAGAATGTGTCACTGTTAACGCAGCCTGAGCTTATTGATAGTCATAGAAGTGGATTCCTTAATTAAGTAATAATAGTTTCCAAAAGGTGCTGTTTTTTCCCCTTTCTCTTCCTCTTTTTTAATGTGGCTTCAAAGAATCATCAAGATGTGATCAGATCACAAGATACATAGGTGTAAATTTTTTGGGGGGCGGGTGGAATTAGAAACGTTTATGTATCTTTAAAATCTTAAAGACCTAAAATTAATCCTAGGGATTTCTTCCTCTTTCTGTGGCCACAGCTCTCATCCCAATCCAGAAAACCGATACTGGCACATAGTGGTTTAGAGTGGGCTGCAAGAGTCCACACAGGGACTGCCACAGGCACCGAAGTCTTACAGGGAGAGTAGACATGGGTATGTCCAAGAGGCCTGGTTTAGAGTTGATGAAAAGTGCTCAGGGCTTCTTTCTACACTCTGCTTTCATACGATCTCTGGACCCCTAAACAGATGGTTCTCAACCCCGTCAGATCCAGCACTCACCTTTTCTGTAGAAAATACCCTAATACCTCCCCTTTACTATCCTGAAATGAAATTCATAGATAATATAACCTACCTAAACATGTCTTAATGATAAAAGGGGAGAAATAAAGGGAAGTATTTTATAAAATAACATGTATTTAAATAACTAAATGCTGGGGCACAGTGTACTAGAAAATACAGCAGAGTCTGATGCTTACACCTGTACACAGTCACTGGGATTGCAACAGCTACACACAGGCAGATGAGAGTGCTGTATTAGAAACTCCAATTCGATTGAGTAGGTGTTACCATTGGCAAGAGTTTTATAAAATGAACAATTTGGGGTGATATTCTGAACAAAACACAGTGTGAGCTCCCCTTAGACAGTATTTGGAATCCTGGGAAACAGAAGTATGTGAAAACTGACAAAAAAAATCACAAAACAATTAAATATATGTAAATGGAGTTAGAGTCTAAGGTAGGTTTTCCTTTTCATCAAGAATCAACCCAGTCATTGCAGGACAGCTGCTAGTATTCCTAGTTGCTTCCCCCCTCCCTGCCCATGACGGCATTGCCTCCTTTGAGAATGAGTCCCTTTAACAGTGCCTTCCTGATAGCCCTGAAGCAATCGCTCTGGGGCAAGGCAGTGCTGTCCCCTCTACCAAAAGTCCCGGTGCCTATAGGATGTCAGCCCTCAATTCTGGAGTTAAGGAAGACCCTGGGTTTTCTCCTATAATCAGTCTAGTAACTTTTTTAAAGCAGGCCAGGCTGCCCTATTATATCCTTCTAAATGCTCTTTTCAGCAAGTAATCATGTGTGGGTAAACTGTAGTGTCAGAATGAGGAATCTGGGTTTTAAAAGGCAGTGTTTTGAAAGAGTGCCCTTGGAAAGCATTATTGCTCCAGCTGTGGCTCACACTGGATAATGGTCGGTGTAGTTGGGAACCCGAGAAAATCATTGTAATTGCAATCACAGCCCAGTTCAAGTTTCGTTAAATATAGTTCACTGCGGACCTGAAACCTACCCTGTATATCAAAGAACATTTCTAATGATAGAGGATTTTTTTTTAAGTAGAAATAAAAGTAAAACAGAAATTGGGAGGTAAAATAAAGCCACGAATAAAACATACACTTTAACCTATATTCTCACTAGGGATGGCACACAAGTTTCCCGAGCCATGCAGTATTGTTATGCGCTCCAAAGAATCTTAAATTTACGGAAGTAGGGTGGGTGTAAATTCAAAGATCATGAAAACTCTAGAACGCACACACTACTTTTCAACACTGGCAAGTTAATGGCAATTTAAAGAATTACTGTTTGTCCGTTTACATTATCTTTTAATATGAAAGTAATACACATTTCTCCTTCACCGGAGACCCTATTTTCTTTCAGAACATTTCATGTGTCTGTAGGGTTTCTTTTTTTTTTTTTAGCCCAAGGTACCATGAACATGGCGCTCCTTATCTTTTTGACAACTGGAATTCTGACAGGTTTGGAAATTTCCGTCCTGAAAGTGTATGCAAAGACCACGCCTGTTAAGCGCAGCTGAAACGGGATTTGAAGTGTGCTAGGGTGAAGCTTTCCACTCTAACGGCGGCCCACGCTGTACAGTGACGGGGCCCGAATTAAACCTCCCGCCTAGCGAGTGAAAGCTCGTGCCGGCAACGCAGGCCAGCCCCGCCCCTGCCGGAAATGGTTGAGCCAAAAGCCGGCGCCAGTCAAAGCGAGCCCGGAAGCAGAATCTCACCTCGTAAGCGGCTTTCAGGGCCTGTGGGCCATCTTGTTAGGGAGTTGTGGAGTCCAGCGGTAGACCAACGAAGGTAGCTGCAAAAGCCCGAAGCTCTGCAGGGCTCCGGTCACCAGAACCCCGCAGCTTCCCACCTTCTAGTGGATGCGGGGACCGCACATCTTTCCCCGCTCCCACTGGCGCTGCCGGTTGGTTTTTGCCCCCAAAGGCAGGCTGCTCTAGGGCTAGCCATTGAATAGTAATACATTTGAATTAAAAACTTAAATCAGACCTAGCTCATTTTTGCCCTATTATGTGGCAGACACTTACCATAAATCTGAGTACAGCTGCAGCTCCACGGCTTATATGAAAACAGAGCATACATTAGGCCAGCAATGTTACCTGTAGCAATTCTAGCTCAGAAAATATAGCTGTCAACCTAACGTGCTAAGCAATACCAGTTTCTACACTTTCAGATACATAAGAAAAAGGTTGAAGGCTACATATGGAGTTAAGCAATCTGACAAAGCTCTGATGCCCACATGTGGGAAGACATCATTAACCCTGTGTGTACTGAGTGTGCTTGTACGTGCAGGACAGGTTGACTCTCAAGAGAAACCTAGAATGAAAACCTGCCTGCTTGCCTTTGCTTCAAGCCACTCTAGGTCTGTGTCCATTTATTTGGGTGCCTTTGTCACCCAGCTTCCTCTGGCATTACTGCTTGGAGAGAAATTGGAGCATCTGCCCTGCTGTTAGCTGTAGATAATAAGGATGCAAGCTGGACCAAGCTCCACGGATCAATAGCCGCTCATCCGAGGTCAAGAAATGGCATCTACACCTCCGTATAGGACTGGGATGAGGATTATTCCATCCTGTTTCTGGACAGTTACCACAGGATGCCAACAATCAATTCCTGGGACTGGCGCTGACCACTAAGGGACCAGTGCTCATCCTCCTTCCCCTAAACTTCACTGTTTTGTGAGCAGCCCCACAATTCAGTAACCAAGTCCTGCCCATTTTGTCTTCTGAATCCTTTTCTTGGTCCTGGCCTCCATTCTTCCACGTAGCCCAGTCCCTAAACTAAAGCCTCTCCAGACTCTTTCTCCCAGAAAACAAGTTACTTAGCCTAACCTTACTGGTTTCCTAAATGCATGTTTGTTCTTCCCTCTGCTTGGACCACTTTCCCATTAAGTGATTCACACCAAGGTTGAGACTTGTCTGCTGCCATAATGAACTTATAAACCAGTTACTAAGAGTCAAAAAGGTTTAATGAATACTTTCCATTTTACTTAATACCTATGATCCTCAAGTAGGTGATTCCACCTACTTTTAAAGGTAAGAAAATTGGACTAACAGGCCAAAGCCTAAGTCATACACATGCTAGGTTCTGGATCTGAATTTGACTCTCAGACACTGCATTTCTATACCTTCAGTGTCAGTTAAGGACTTTAAATCAGGTCTCATAATTCCTTATCTATTGACCACTTGTTTTAGATCCATGTCCTCTCTTATACCTTCCATTAAGTCCTCAGGAAGACACTAAGGGAAAACCCATCACTTCACCTTTCTTCAGCACCATCATGGAAGATGCAAACCCAAATATTGTTATTGGTTTGTCCAGCTGAATAAAGCCTGACTGACATCTCTTAACTCCCATTATTTAAATCCATTAAGTCTCCCCTGACTCCATGCTTTCTTATATATGATGGCTGCTGTACCATCTAAAGGTTACCATGACAGATTTGTCCTATAGAAACCCATGGTTCCCAGACCGTGTATGAACCCAAAGAGCCATAAAGGAAACTCTTCCCCAACCAAACCCAACCCAGTAGCTGAGTTTTAGTAGGTTTCAGTGCTATCTTGTTTCTCTGCCCAGGATTCTAGACTGCAAGTTTTATTTTGGCCAACATTTCAAAATCATTGAAAGACCTCTGAAAACTGTAGCAAATTGTAATTATCATCTTGGATCCACGAGTGTCCTATCTGTACACAAGCATCGGTCACCGGGTTTTTGCAGGAGATACCCAGTTACTAAGATACCCCATGTCTCTACTAGATACACTAAATACTAGAAGGAACATTGGTAGCATTTCATAATAATACTTTGAACATTAAGTTAAACCTCCTATACACAGGGATGTTTACACCTCCACAATGGCTTTCTATAATCCAAACTCCACTGTGATTGTAAAAGCCCCACTGTGTTTAAAATTCAGATTGTTAGGGCACATCTCAAGATTTTGGTTATGACTAGAATAGTTAAAAGTCCAAGATGAGGGAGCCAGATAGAAAAACCTTAGGATCAGGAATTACACCCTGAAGAACCACCTTGATCTCATTACCCTGTCCCCTCTTTACAACATGACACATTAAATTCCTATAAAGACAGAATCAGGCCCTTGTGAGCCCCCTGGAACAGTAAGGGCACACTTCCATTCATTGTAAATTCAGAGTACACAATGCAAACAGACCTTTCAACTATTTTATATTTATCACACACACACACCACCAACAGCCATCATTTTCACTTTATAAATGAGAAGTTCAAGTCAGGTAACAGACCAAGGCCTCTAAGCGCTGGTGCTAACTCTTGCATACTTTCTTTCTCAGGGGAGTTGGCAGAGGAGCCCAGGCCCTCACACCTTTAACTCTTAGAACCTGCAGGTTTCTGACACACAGGTAGGGGTGCCAAGAACCTACACCCAGACCAGAAGACAAAAGCACTTGTGAACATTTAATGATTTCCCGTCCATGTGGCTTCAAGCCACCAGCACACAAGCCCCACCAACACTCTTAATCTTCTCCTCAGCTCTTCTGCTGAAGAATTTGGCCTTCACAATGACAGGCTGCTTTGGGAGCTTTCCCTTCCCCAGAACTTTGTAGTAGCCCTAGAAGAGAGAAAAAAGGTTATAGCACATCATGGCAGGTACCAACTCCCTAGTGGGTATGAGGAAAGATGCCGGACAACCCACACTCCATCTGGTAGCTGGAGAGGGCATGTTTCTGATCTGGGCACTACCCGAGGGCACTGACTGCCCTCGTCAGTGAATCAAGACCAGCAAATTTTCTCCGAGAACTGTAGCACACCAGGACAACAGCTGTCAGGATGTGACTCTAGTCTCGGGCAAAACACAACCCCCGCCCCTTTCCCACTCAATGACCATCTAACAAGCAAAAAAGAAAAACCACACTCCCAGCAATGCTTTAAGCAGTCATGACCATCAAAATTGCTCAAGAGATGGTAAACAGGCTGGAAAGGGAAATCTGATACTTTAATGCAAGTCCTCTCAGGGTTTAAAATACTCCTGTATCCATAGGAGGTTAAGACTGATACAAGGACTAGAACTCCCAGTGATACTATTTAAAAAACACAAACAAAACAAAACTCGGGTGTAGTTTTTTTTGAGGGGGCGAGGAAAGGAAGGCCCTGTTCAGGTAATATAGGGCCTTAAATCTCGAGCACATTATTATTTTATTCTGTAGGGAACATGAAGGGTCAACAGCTGTGCCCAATGCAGATCTGTGTAAAACAGACCAAAGCCAGCTGAGCTAAGATATTGCCAATAGCTCAGATGAGAAATGCAAACCTGTGCAAACCAGGGCAGTAACAGCATGAATGAGATTACTGACTGGAAAAACATTCAAGTGAAAATGAAATACCCCAACGAATGGAAGAGTGAGAGGGATTACTCTTCAATTATTTCGTTCAATCACAACTGAACTGGAGTTCAATTTTGGCCAATGAATTACCTCTGGAAATTTCACCAAAAGGTACGTCTAAAAGGGAACTGGGTACAGACTTCAGGTGGGAGATCAAGTAGATTAGAGTACTCAGAGTTTTGAGGACAGGCAACGAGCCATATAAAGGCACAAGTATTCCTTCACTCACCGATCGCACCACATCAATGATGGGAGCGGCTCCGGTCTTGTTTTTGGCAGCATTGACCCGCGTCTGCTCACTGACCAAGGTCCATAGTTTATCCAGGTTGACAGTGGGGCAGAAGCTCTGGTTCCTCTTTAAGTGGTAGTGCCTCATACCAACTTTCCCAAAGTAACCTGGGTGACTGGGAAGAGAAGGCAACCACTTTCATAACCTAACTAATTAAGAAGCTATACTTACCATCTTTATGGCCCATCTCCCCAAGTAGTGTAAACTGTTAACTGATGTAGAGCCGTGACACAACACGCTCCGCTCCATTCGTTTGCTGGATTAATCAAATCTTTATAAAAAGCCCACCAAAGACATTCAGAAGGAAAAGAGTAGCCTTATTTCATGGAACCAGGTTAAGTCACTGAATAATAGAGATGTTCTAAACAAATAATTATAAAATCCCATCCCCTAATTTGTGGGCACAAGTGAACCTACTGCCATAGAGGTCAATCTGATGCATGTCACTAACCTGGTGACTGACCATGCCACAGGGGGGCCAGAGTCAGTGAATAAGGTCAGCAGTTGTTCTTCGAGGACTCTAGCACACTAAGGCAATCGGTGATACCCAAGCGTGACTCTAGCCTCGATGGCAAAATTTCTCATTTCACATCAAATGTTAACTTGGTAAACGCCCAAAACAGGTTTATGGTGGTAAGAGGCTTGCTTCCCGTTCAGAATGTTCAGAGCCAGCTCCCCAACTGCTCCCAAACTCCAAAACTGTGTCAGTTAAATACAGTCCCAGAAGCACTCACTATTTGTCGAAGTTGATCCTGTGATGATGCAAGCCACCAGCATTACCTCGGCCTCCCGGGTGCTTCCTGTGTTTGCCTGCAGGATTACAAAGATACATGGCTAACAGCCTTCCCCGGCCCCAAACTTCTCCCAAAAGCATTCCCACCCCCCGTTTCTGCCTTTGCTTATGCTGTTCCCAGTCTACAATTCCTCTTTCAGCATTGCTAACTCCTTCAAGACCCCACTCAAAACGTATCTTCGCAACACTATCGCAGCACTCCACGCCTTCAACCAATACTGTGTCCCGCTCAATTTTCATTCCCCCAACTGATGTGGTAATTCTCTGTATCTGAAGTACTAGATTCTCAGAGAAAACGTCAGGCTCAATCCGACCCGATAGCACAAAACTCTTACTAACCCACTTCTAAGCTACCTACCTTCGACTAGTTAAGCACCAAATTAGGGCAGACCAAGGCCGACCAGGATGGAAAGCCGGCACTTACCGATGCGGCCGTGGCCGTGGCTCACGTGGCCCCGAAGTTTCCGGGTCTTCCTCAGTCTGGATGGCTGTGCGAAAAAAGATGCTTGGTGATAAGGCCTTAAAAAGGTGGGGCAGGGGGCGAAGTATGCCGAATTGTAAGGGGAACGTTGGCGTGAAGATCAAGGATCTGCCTTGTGGTTCATTCAGCAAAGCTGAGATTACACACTGGCCCGGGGCAGAGCGGCCTCATCCCGGCGCCGCCCGGACGCCCGGGCCCGCGTGTCTCAGAGATCCGAATCCAGGGCCGAACACGCGGCCCAGAGATCCGGGCGCACTTCGGACCCCTACCCTGCGGCCCACGATGCGTGATCGTGAAGGCCGGGCTAAAACCGAGGGTAGGTGGCTGGCGTGCACAACGAGCAAAGATCCCGGCCCGCGACTGTAGTGAAAGGAAAGCACGAAAGAATAACCTACCATGTTGGCGGCCGAGACGCAAAAGGAAACCGTACGCGAAGTCTCGCGATGTATGGGACGCGAGGGCGGAGCAAACACCTCACTTCCGGCCGGGGAGGCCGGGCCTAGACGGCGTTGCGGGTAGCGCGTGGCTGTGGGTTGCGTTTTTTCCTTTTGCTGCAAGGTTGTAGCCGCCGTCTCTAGGCAGTCTTGATAGCTATTGCGGCGAAAAGCTTTTCTATGTCCAACCTGTTGTGTGCAGAAGCTCGGAGGCTGAGAGTTGTGGAAACTGAGGGCGCTGTGGGCCGGGCCCTTTTCTTGACGCCGTGTCCTAAGTACCCTCCCAGGTCACCGTATCTTTCAGCCCCCTCATAAAACGCCCCAGCCCTGAGCGGCATCCCAGCCTTGCTCTGTTCTTAGTAGTCAGCTCAGCCCGGTGATAGCGATTGCTTGCTTGCCCCTTCCTCTCCCCGGACACGGTGAGGAGCTATGAGGCACTATTCATTTGACCCTCCTCGCACCTACTCAGTGCCTCACTCTGCTGCCTTTGAAGTCTTTCTCTAGATGTGTGTACAACCCTCTGGGACTGCTGCCCCACCCTCCTGGAGGGGCGCTGGGTTTTCCTTTCTGGTGGCCTTTGTGCTGTCAGCCAAGGTGTTCTCAGTCGGAAACTACTTCAGGGACCTGTATGCCTGGTTGTTTCATAGCCCTTTTCATCCAAATGTTGTCAATTTTCGAACCGCCACATGTAAATTTCCACCGGAATTTACCTTGACACCACGGTGACGCTCGCCCCGTGGATTAGAGAACCCCCCACTCAACCTGGACCCAATACCAGCATCTCGCGTAGCTTCTCTGACCCTTTCTGTCAGAGTTGCTCACTTGATTAGTGCACCACAGAATCTCTGACGTAGCTCTCATGTAACTGTCCGCCCACATTTCTCTTCCCTACTTGATCAAATTCTTTAAGTGCTTGAGGATTATTTTCTTTTATCCATGCACTTCCAGTTCTTGGCTTGTAGTACGGGCTCAACAAATGATAAACTGAATGAATACACCTACCCTCACTTACATTTTCACTTATAATAGTGTCTTAAGTCTCAACCAGCGGTCAAGATCCCATTCCCTCAGTGAGTCCATGTATATATTATTTTCTGTTCTGTTTTCTGAAGCTAAAATATGTTTTAACTAAAATATCCTAGATTCTTCCTGACCGCCTGCATCTACTACCCTGGCTTCTTTACCTTACATAAGAGTAGTCTGTGAATGCTGTCCATATGCTCGCTTCCCGTTCGCTGTTTAATCCGTTGCAATCTAGTTTTCAGTCCTACCATTTGAGTGAAATTGCTCTTACCAGTTATCGATTAACCAAACACCAAATTGAATGGACTCTTCCTATTCCTCATACCTCTTGTTCTCTCTTATATTTTACCCCTTTGGCTTCTTTTTCTAGAGAAACTCTCCTTCCTCCCATCTTTCTGGCTATTTCTCAATCTTCTTTTCAGGTTCTTTGTCCACCATTGAAAGGTTCTTCAGCCTCCTGTCTTTGTACCTCTTTTCATGGTACACAATCTTCTTGGGTGAACTCATTCTGGGTGGCCTCAATTCACATCTCTGTTGCTGAGCTGCACACTCATACATTAATTTCTGGTTAATATCCCTTGGATAGTCTACAGACAAACCATATAAACATACCCAAAGATGCCAGTGTTCCTGGCTGATATGTGCCTTCTTTATACCTTGTTCACCATAGCGATGCCAGGGAGACCTTAAATTTGTCCTAAGCCTTCTTTTCTTCTAAAACACTGTCACCATATTCTTGTGCCACTGCCCGCACTAAGGCCCTCATCATATCTCTTGGGTTCAACACCCTCCTCTGATCACCCTGCCAGCATTCCAACGCTCCTCCAATCCCTCCATCCATAATACCTCTGCCACGTTAATCTTCCTAAAAAAAAAAGACTTTTATCCTTTCACTTATTTGATCAAAAAGTTCAGTATCTCCCTGTTGCTAACAGAATATACACCACTTGCCTTTCCAGCTTCGTATCAGCTTCCTTGCTACACAAGCTTTCTACTGTAGCCAAACTTGGTACTTTTCTTGTGCCCTTTCACCTGTGCTTGTGCCATCTCTCTAGCTTGGAGTGCTCATGCTGTTCTTGAGCATATATCCTGGATTTCCCTCAACTTTTAAGGCCCACATTATAATATGCTTCTTTTCAGAACATTCTGATGTACAGTGATAATAGCCAAATACACCTTGCAATTTACAAAATGCATCTGCCTCAGAAGTCAACACTATCATCCTCATTTACTGAAAGAGAACGTTGAGGCACAGAAAGTTGAGTGACTTGCCAGAGGCTACGGATGGAGAGCCTAGCCTTTAGTCTCTCTCTCTCCAGATCTCTTACTTTTGCCATTCCCTCTCTGACCTCACAGGAGTATGGTCTTTGCCATTCCTTCAATCCTTAATCACCTAGTGCCTGTGACCAGCAGAAAGGAGTCTTGAGGGTGTAAGACAAGGTCTAAGAAGAGATCATCTTCTATTGGACATCAAAACTGACCAGGAAGTGTATAAGGGATGAGCTGAACTAACTGGAAACTACCCTGGGATGATGCTCTGTGAATTAAGGTAAACTGGGCAGACCCTTGGGAATGAGAGGTATCCTATAACTAGGGCCTGAAGCAAGGACCAAGATTGTCTGGGGTGGGGGGTGGAGATGGAGGTAGAGTCCTGGGTGATGGGACACTATTTCTGGGTAGTTTTGCCAAGTTCCTTGGTTATAGAAGAGCTACATCCTATTTGTTAGCCACCTGGCTGACTGGGAGGCCTCCCTGGGTGGACCAGCAGTACTGTTAGGTTCTTTGTTTACCTAACTTTCTTCTTATTGGTTTGGCCTCCAGGGTAGGGAATGCCCTGGGTGGTTATCTGGCTCTGGTTTCCAGCTGGCTCCCTCTCCTTTATAATCATGTAGCTTAAACAAAAGGCCCATGTGGAGGCTGTCAGAGTGGGTCAGTTTCCCTGGGTTGAGCAGCTCTAGGAGAACAAACAGAGTTGAATTCTAGGTCTGCAAAGTTGAGTAGCCATTAAATGACCTGTCTCTTCCTGTCAGGCACACAGGGCATGACCCCTGAGAGGCATCCTTCTCTGTGACATCTCTTCTGAACTAGAGCATGACATTGTGACATATGAGGCATCTGGGCTCTCCCAGAGAGTCAGGACCTCAGAAATACCTGTGAAATGAGCAGAAAGGAGATGGTGCCAGGCAGCAGCCTGGTGAGGCAGGTAAGGGTGATAAGGACCTTTTAGCTGCCCTATCTATGCCTCTTTCCAGGTAGCCTTGTGGGCACACTGCCACTCTGAACAGGGTCCTGGTGGTTCCTCTCTCTTCCCCTCCTGACTTCATCGGCAGACCTTTAGACAGCAGCAACAGTGTGGTGGGGTTCAGCCTTGTTTTCTGGCTCTTTATCTTTAAATTTGGGCATTTGGAAATACTACGTTGCTTTCCTATTTCAAGTAGAGCAGGGGTGTCACACTCATTTTCACTGGGGGCCACATCAGCCTCAAGGTTGCCTTCAAAGGGCTGAATGTAATTTTAGGACTGTATAAATGTAACTATTCCTTAACTACAGGCAAGGAGCTCGGTGCTGCCACCAGGTAGAAATAGGTGCCGGGCCGGATAAAACAAGGCGGAGGGCTGGATTCAGCCTACGGGTCTTAATGTTTGCCACCTGTGAAGTAGAGGATTGTGAATTTAAGATGGGAAGAGCCAGAAATCTGTTCTAAGTGAGAATTAGAGAAAAACTTAGAAATCCAAATTTGTTTCAGAACGAATTTTTTAAAAATTTGTATAAAAGACAATGAAGAATTTAAAAAATTTTTTGAAACATAAGTATAAATATCTCAAATCATAACACCCTACAATGCTGTTTCATGTCTGAATATTGCCTTTCAGCTCTCATCTACATGGAGATGGAGCTATCTGCAACACTGATGATCGTAGTATACCAATCTTTATGTTCTGCTTTTCATTGAATACTGTGACATTTTTCTGTATCACTACCCAGTCTTCATGATTATTATTTTTAACAGCTAAAGAATAATTTATCTTTAGCACATACTATAAGTTACTAAGCCATTTTCTTGTATATTTTGTTTTCATTTTTTCTTGTTGTGTTCTTTGCTGTTGGAGACATGATACACTGAATATCTGTGTGTATATGTAGTTTTTTCTTCTGTTGAATAACTTGTCTAGAATAAATTCCCAGGAGAGAGATTGCTGGATTATAGGGTACGAACATTTTTATGCTTCATGTTATGTTGCTATATATTTTTTCTAAATGGATCGTATCAATGTGTCAGCAGTCTACATAGTTTCCAATTTCAACTACACCAGATTCAAGGTATTTTTTTTACCAGTAACTTTTGATAAATGGCAATATGACACCTAGAGGAAAATCCATAGGCCCACAGGGCTTTCTTCGGCACAAAGTAAAAATAATCTAATTTGAGGATTAAGAATTTGTGGGAGTCTTTCCTTTCTGGGCTGGATAGATTTTAAAAAAAAAACCTCTCATTGTACTACATGGCAAGTGCATTCCTAGAAGCTTCATTGGCAGCTAGAATGGCTGCCCTGCTGCCATCAAACTCAGAATAGCAAAATGTGGAGAGAGGAATTCTAGGATCCTTGAGACAGCAGTTTATCCACTAGCACCAATGAGGAGCTTAAATAATTGAATATTAATTTCATTTCAGATGATAAAATTAGTGGAAAGAACACAGAAAGTTGGGTTTATTTCCTACCTCTGGATGATATTGAACAAATAGCATATTCTCTTTGAATCTTAATTTTCTTGTCTGTATAATGAAAAATGGCTGGGACTCATTCATTTGTTTTAGAAATATTTATTGAGTGCTTGCCATGTTCAGGCACCCTATATAGGTGCCAGGCAGTGAGGGGCAGGCACAGTGGGGAACCAGAAAGACGAAGTCCTGCTGTAGGACTGTGTCTAAAACAGTAAATGAGTAAAGAAGTGGATAATGTATCACCATCAACACAGCCTAGCACAGCACGGACGCTGTGCCATTACCTAGTGTTTCTCCCATTTCCTCCCTAAAATGAGTCCATTTTAGTCATTTGTTCTGTATTACCCATGCAAACAATCTTTGAAATTCTTACTCCCAATATGTTGTGGAATGACTTGTTCTGTCATCCTTGGCAAGGAACAGAAACCAGGAAATATTTCCCTTCTCTCCCATCCCCCAGTGTGGGATATGAGAAGGAGGTGGTTGGTGAGC